CTGGCTTTTTTTTTTAAGTTTAAAAGAGAAGCTTTGGATTAATTGGTCTTTGAAGACTGACCTGTCCATTTCTTCACTAGAAATGGTTTGAGCAAGTCTGATTTGAGCTCTCTTGATGGAGCAGCTTGGAGAATCTGACACTGCTGTTTTCTCATAGACCTGTGCTCCATGTTCTATTGAAAAAAAATCTTGAACTTACAGTTGGAAAGAGAATCTTAAAAATGTAAATTCTGATGGAAAATTGAATGTCTACATTTTGATTGTTTCTGTGCTTTAAGGTCAATGAGGCTTTTGCTGCTCAGTATTTGTCAGTTGAAAAAGTTTTGGGTCTAGACCCTGAAAAAACCAACGTCAGTGGAGGTGCCATTGCTCTAGGTCATCCTTTGGGAGCATCAGGATCAAGGATCACTGCTCATCTGGTTCATGAGTTAAGGTGTGTGTGTAGCTGAAGCTTTTGATGAAATGCGTAACACTGTTGTATTTGCATCAGCTTTTCAAGGGGGTTGTAGAAGCACACTATACAGCTGTAAAATCATCTTTCTCTCCTGCCATTCAACACCCTTTTGGAATTCCTTCACTGGTTTCATTTCTCTCATTGCATCACTTCAGTGCCCAGGTCCTCCAACTCCACTCTCGTTCCCTCCTATTTTATTCCAATCCTCCCTACTCCTTTTTGGTCTGATCCTAAATCCACAGAGATTAATACAGAAACTCTCTTCACTTCAGTGGGCTTTGGATGAGACTGTTTATTTCTCACTTTTTTCTCTCTGTCTTGTACCTTCCAACTCCTCTTTCCCCCTCAAAAAAGTCTGGAAAACTCCCTCTGCTTGTTCCTCCTCTGCCTTCCCTCTCCTTCAATACAAGATCAGTGGAAGTAAATTTTGTCTCTTTAAGAGTGATCTTTTTTACACTCTTAACATAAATAATTTCCTCATAGTTTTGAGTGTCCAGGACAGAGACCAGGTCTTTCTGTTTTTATTCATACTTCTGCAATGCTTTATCAATGTTCAGTAATAAAACAAACCTCAGCTAATGTTCACCTCATAGAACAACACTATAATGCTTTTAGAAACTGAATTAGATATAAAATCATGTTCCATTCAGGCCACTTAAGCTGCATTGAAACCTGAGACACAGCGGGGAAGCGATTTCAAATTACTTTCTTTATTGGTGTTCTGAACTCCAAGGAACAACTCCAGTGTCAAACTGTATATATAAATGTATAATATTGATATAATATATTCCAAAACACCCTCTCTTTAGTTGTGCATGAAACTTTTGAGAATCAAAATCCATTAGGGAAAAATACTTACTTTTAAATTAAATCAGGGAGACAATTTCTGTTTTCGTTGTTTCTATATAGGCGTCGTGGAGGCAAATATGCAGTCGGGTCAGCTTGCATTGGAGGTGGACAAGGTATTGCTCTTGTCATTGAGAACACAGTGTAAGAGAATTGGAGAATTCAATGTCCAACAACTAACACTGACTGTTACATGCTCACCAAATAAAAGAATAATGAAAGGTAATACCTTCATCTGATGAATATGCTGAATGAAGGAAAGGCTGTAAAGTCTGATTGCTGAACAAAATAACTTGATTGATTTTTATGATGTCCTTGTAATTATACTAAATGTAAAACCACTATAACTTCAATCTTCTGACATTTCTTCAGATTCTTTCCAATTTAATAAAATTTGTGTCTCCTTGGCCCTTAACTCTTCAGGAAATTATGTCTGACTATCAAATATCTACCAAACTTTCCTTATGCCAAGAATGCCAAAGCCATACCAAATACGGGCTTTGATCTTTTTTTAAACAGTTCTTTTGTCTAAAATAAACTTCTTTGAAGATCTGTGCTCCTTTTGCATTGCCTGAAAATGTAGTTGTCTTCATACTATTGAAGATTGTTTCTATGAAAAGCATGTCTTGCAGAATTCTGTGTGCCTTTTTGTATTTGCCATATTGAAAAAACTAAGAGAAAACTGTGAAATCTCAACTGTGCCTCACAATAAAAATGATATTGACTTTGTCCTATTGATTTTTTGTTCAAGAAAGGTGTAATAAGTTTAGATAACTTATTTGGGTCATAATATTGCCTGTATCCTTCAGTGTGCTCAGCATTTTAAAAGTCGAGCTGTTATCTGAGATGTTAGTTCCCCATCTGAAATACAGTGATGGGAAACAACTGGTAACTCTAGTAGAGATCTGAATCTTCACTGGCAATTGATGTACTGCTATAAATCTTTCAACAGGAATTTTCTGTGCACAGCTATGGTGTCATATACATTACAATGGCCTATGGTTTAATTTTCCCCTCTAAGACTGTCTCTCTGTCATGAGTTGTTTAGGGAGAGCAGTTGAGGTAACTGACTTCCTCTGTTCCAGATGTCAGCAGGAAGTAGTACAGTAGCCAACACCAGAACCTTTACCTCTTTCCCCTTGCCAGAGCACATCACCTCCACAGCTTTTCTCTGCAAGTCCAGTAGTTGATATGTAAGAGATTGGAAGTCACTTTTGAACCCAGGTTGTCTTGCTACCAGGGAAATTGGATTGACAAAGGACATGGCAGTAAGGAGTGTGGGTTTGGTGGGTGATGTTTGAAGTATATGGGCTGGCCTTTATACTATACTTCAGGGGAGTAGCTAGCAGTGAAAGTTTGGGTGGGCCCTAGTATTGGGTAGATGAGCAATCTGTCCCTGGAGCAAGTCCAGACTGAACTATCCTAGTCCTGCATGAGGAGGGGGGGGGCTGTCTTTGTGTTTCTCTGAGAGATATAGCCAAGGGTGGACCTAGGAAGGCAGCTGGGGATGGAGAGAAATTGGGGGCAAAAAAGAGGTGTCCTAGGCTGGGTTACTGGGTGTTCTGTGATGAATCCTTGCTGTGTCTCTGGAGCATTGGAAACTGAAGCCCTGGCCATGCTGCACCCCAAACTTGGTAGCTAATTGGATGCTGCACCCATGTTCTTAGCATCCATCCAGGTCCCTGGAGTTGGCTGGACTCCTTCCTGCCTTGCTCCACATCTTCCCCCAAAGCTGCACTCCAGAGCCATCTCAAGGCCAGTAAGGATCACCTGCCAGGGCAGCTGTGCAGAGCTGGGATTGGGCTGGAATCTCTAGTACAGGGGAGTCCAAACTTTTTTTCAAAGAGGGCCAGATTTGATGAAGTGAACATGCGTGAGGGCCGACCATTTTGCCTGACATTCTTTGACCCATTAAAATTAAATGCAAATTAACTATTTTATGCAAAGTTTATTGCAAACGGCATACTTTTCATTTCGTCACATGGATCACAAATCTAAACAGGTGTTAAATCACTCTGCCTTTCATATCTGAAGGCCAGATGAAAAAAAAATCCAGGAAGCTGAAATATATGTCAGGAACATTGTAAAGTACATTACATATTATTGGTAATAAAGGTTGTCTGTCAACTTTTAAGTTCAAAAAATATGAACAGGAACATAACACCAAGTATACATGTTGTGTCCAAATATATTTATAACTGATTTAGACCAACTGACTTTAACTGAGATTTTACAATGTATTCATCTCAATACATATGGATTCATTGGGGGCCATAAAAGATAGATATTGCCAAATTACCCGGGGGGCCGTATTAAACCGGAACACGGGCCACAATTGGCCCGCGGGCCGCACTTTGGACATGCCTGCTCTAGTAGGTCTACACAGCAGCTGGTGCATGCTTTTGCTTCCCAGCGGTGCTAGCTCTGATGAATGCAAACTCATCTGGACTCCCTTGATACAGTCCTCAGGCAGTTAGCTTGAGACACTGGCCAGACTTCTCGAGTCACTTGCTAGTTTGAGCAGAGCTCGATCATGTCTGGGTTCCCATGCAGGGCAGCACACTCCCCACTGCTGTGTAGGCATACTCTTAGTGTCTGTATTCAAGCTGGAAATATAATTCCTAGCTAAGGAGAGGTACCTGCATGAGCTCTTCTCAAACTAGTGCCTGAAAACAGATTTGTAGCTGTCACAGCACAAGCAGTAGGATAGACTAGCTGCACTGAATATGTACATAACCTTGCTGATAGGGGTACCCTGGGGGCCAGCTATCCCCTCACTCCCACTGCAGGTGCTGCTGTGGCCACAGCTGCATTCTATTTTAGTGCACTAGCTTGAGAGTTGTTAGAGTGTCTGACATGCCACCAAGCTCAGACTTGGGTAGGCCTGGGTGTTAATTGGGTGGGTGTGGCCCACTTGAGACTATGCCCCTGCTTTATTGGTGGTATTTGATATTGACAAGGAAGAGGCTAGATCCACAAAGGGTCTTAACCATCTAACTCCAGTGGTAGTGAAAACTGAAAATGTGAACACTACTTTACCAAACTGTCATCAGATTGTAATGAACTTCATTTGATGTTTGATTTAATGAACCTTTGAGAGGTGGTTCTTTTCAATGCTGTTGAATGACCTTTGTTGATAGATGGGATGTCTTAACTTCTACAGCTCCTGATCAGGGTGAGTATACTTATTTATTACTTGGATTATGGCAGCACATAGATATCCAAATCAGGATCTGGGGGCCACCTTGCACTAGGTGCCATACAAACACTCTTCGTGCTTTAAAACATTAGTTGTTCTTTACTACATTTTATGATCAGTATGGATGGACACAAGCTGCAGTGTTTGGTTCTTGAGCCAAGTCGCAACATCATTGACTCTGGGGATTTGGTTTGAGCCTGTCCCTATGCCAATAGCATCTTATTTCTTTCTTTCTTCATTGTAAATTGTTACACAGTCTATACAGGTATTAGAGTAAAATCTGTTGCTTCCAAAGGACATTATTAGCATACTGTTACTTCCTCCTAGGGAAGCAAAGAACTTTATATTGACAGCATGTTATAATTATGCCTCTAATCTTACACTAGAACACCATAAACATGTAAATAAAAAAAACTTTGACTTTCTTTCTTGGAAGATGTGTGGAAAGGAAAGAGTTAACTATACTTAGAAACTGGATTCATACTACATATCCTTCTCTATGTCATGTTTGTGAGTAAAGACTGGGTGGCTATCTGATGATAAAGCTTACTGCCACAAGGTGGCATATTTTAAGCATTTTACAGAGCTTGCCATTCTGATATTGTATTTGCGGTGCATGTAGTTGCTTTGCTTTGCATTTGAGAGAGGCACAGAACCTGTGCCTAATTTCCTGTGCATTTGGGTTATTTGTGTGTATATCTCATTCTTACTGCTTTCTCAACAGAAATGCAGCATTCTGCTAATGCATCTTTTTTTTTTTTAATGGGCCAAGGAGCCAGAGCCTCAACTCTGACTTCAAGAGCGTTTGACGGTGGTCGCACGTTGCAGGATTGGGCTCAAGTTAGTAATATGGCTCTTCCTACAGTAATTGTATTCTTCTCTAAAAACATGTCCAATAGGTGAGGGTTGAGGCCCTTTTGTATAACAGGGCCCTGGGACAGTTGTCCCTTTCTCCCCTCCTCCCCCGTTGGAGGGCTTGGGGAGAGAGGTGGAAACAAGACAGGAAACTGCGTATTTAGGGAGTGTAGTTATCAGGAGACTGACAAGAGGGGAGAGAGTACAGCAAGAGCATGACCAAGGGAGTTCAGTTTTTTGGCAAAATTGTAGTATTGCCAACCGCAGAGATTAGAAAGTCAAGAATCAGCCTCCTCTTCCCCCCCCCCCCCCCGTAAGATATTAGCAAATTCCTGGTCTTCTAAATCTTTGAGGGTCTCCAAGAAACTGCAGTTTTCCTTCCCCCTCCGCCCCCCCCCCCAAAATGAATGAGATTAGCTTAATAATCATGAACTTTAAGAAATAAGTTGGGTTCTTTTTATTTGATTTCTGGTTTTTGAATCAGGAGAGGCACCTCATTGTAAGTAATGCTTTCTGTGTGAAATTTGCATCAGTGAAGATACAGGCATTTTCCTAAATTTTGGACTGACTTGACCAATTCTGGGTTTGTGCCCTGAGCAAAAGGTAGCTGCAAACTCTTCAAAATACTCTGACAACCAGCATCACACTGGTCTTACTCAGGTTCTACTTCAATCAGTTACTGTTTGCTCATCAGCTGGGATGATTGTATGTGGTGACAGGTAGAACCGTGTGTCATCACTATAGATCTTGAATTCATGTGATCTCACCAGCCCACCTTGTGGCTGCATGTAAATGTTCATTAGCACTGGAAAGAGAATTGATCCTTGTGGGACTACATACACAAATGGGGCTACAAAGTTTCTCTGTTGATGTTGCTTGCAAGGGTGCCAGTTGTGATGATGTGTTCACTGATTTGGTGACATGTTCAATAGCTTCTGGCCTGAGATCAGCAAACACACTGGAGCATGTGCAGGTTTAAATTGTACTCCTGGTTATTTTTCTTGCAACATGTGGAATAAATAACATGGACTACAAACTATGGAATGGCTATATGCATTTCTTAGGCCATATCTACACGAGGAGATTAGTCCAAATTTTCTAAGTTCGACTTCTGAGCACCCAATTTTACAAATTCAAAGTTCAGTGTCCTCACTCTGGGGAAGAATCAAATGTAGTCCAAGGCAGGCTCCGTTAATGTGGACATACTACCTCTGACTCTCAGCTCCAGGAGGCCCTCTGGGGAGCTGCGGTTATTTATAACCTAATGTTATTTTGGACTTGCAAGTTTGGGAATAGCATTATTCCTCATGAAAAGCAAAACTACAGAGTTTGAATTCCATGGCCTTTATTTCAGATTAAGGAGTTTGGGAGTGTGGACGCATGGCTTACAAATTCGACCTTGGGGAGACACGTATGCCTGACACAGAAAAAATACTTGTTTGGATGTGGTGCAGCAAAGAAATTGCTAAAGAACACTTTATCTTTGTAAAGTTAGGAGCACAGAAATACTGTCAAGGTTAGGCTCACACAAGGTAAAGCTGCCTACATATATTTACGGTATACATATATTTTCTTTACTGTATACATGTATTTCCTTGGGGGGCTAATTTTGGACTAAAGTCCTAATATAGACCAGGCCTGAGTGAAAGGTGCAGTAATAAGATGGGGGTAAATT